ATTTGCTGTATACATGATAAGATTAGTTACAGATTTGTATCAAGATGATATTAATTTTTAACTATCTATTATATCTTGTATAACAACCTAAGTGTAGCAAATCACCTCTTAATTTTCTATTTATAAACTAATTTAAGACCAGCTAGCTACCATTAGTTATAAAAGAGGAAAGAGAAAGCCCAATAGATATACTGTATTATATAAATAGATATACAGTATTATGAATTTCATAATACATCTATTTTTGGGATCGTTCATTTTGATCAACCCAAAAAAAATAAAAAAATACAAGAAATGAGTGTCTAAACCTACCTTGGGGCATTAATAAAAAAACTTAAATTTATATAACTAAACACGGTTCTAAATGACTATTTTTAAAATTACCGGGTTTCCCTTAGCGACACTCAAATCGGTAATATCATAGACTAGTTATGTTATATATTACAGTATTATGTTATACTGTATAGAGTATGCTAAACAGCCACTGTTTTTATATTATTCATGCAAAATGTTATTATTGTAATGACATAATTAACAATAATATTTTTGCATGAATAATCATTATCATATAAAAACAGGGCTGTTTATCGACTTTTGGCACACCCGGTATTTGGTTTAAAAAATCAGGGCAAATATGTATTTGATTTTTAAGAAATAAAAAAAATATTATATCGGGTGATCCAAAAGTCACTGTTTTTTGTAGGGAATGAATTATGATTATTTATACAAAATATTAATAGTATCCCCTCAAAATAACGTCCCATGATTAAGACTGTATTATTCTCCACTTCTATAGATTTACCACCGGTATTATTGTGCTTTGCAAAAAGATGTGGCCTCTGCAAATCACGATGTCGTAGGAATCGGAGATCCTACCGATTTTAAGAATTTTATCGATTTCGAAGAAATATAAACGTAACCGATCGAAAATATAATACAACAGGCAACCTCGATCATCATCGCAAAAATCAAAAAATCATGTGGCCGCGCTAATTATAAACCGAGGTAAAATCACCGCCTAAAAATTTCTCGGCAAATCAAAATTTAAAGATCAGGTGTAATGTAGCACGATCGGGAAATTTTAGTCTATGAAACTGCCTTCTGCGCATATTTGAAAATTTTCCTTGTAAATTTTTTTGTAAAATTTTGGTATATGAGTATCTTTTGAGCCCTAATATAATGGCCCTAACTTAACGACTCAAAATTTTTACAGCGAAATATTTTGAAATTTTTTTGGGTGGCGATTCTACCCTTATCTCACCTTTTATCGTTGTTTCTAATAAAAAAAATTTTTTTACTACATTTGTTTTGATAGAACTGTCATAACCAGTGATAAACACATGTCTTTAAAAAATATATACCAATACGTATATATATATTATTATAACATAAATATAACTGAAATTTTACATGCTGGTTTTATATGATTCTATCATTATTTTCATTGCCTTTAAACATTGTTTGATTTTAATTCTCAATTGAAATGCTTAATGAAAATAAAAAAAATCTTAAGAATCGCTTTTATATAAACCATATATTTGACAAAAACAATATAAATTATTTATTCTTACCATCCTTATCGGAAGCATCGAATTTGACAACTAAATTGCGGTGGATTTTCGCTAATTCAATCTAGTATTTAAAGAAAAAAAAATGTCAATCAAAATTCACGCAAATAAAAGTAATCATTTATAATAAAACTTGCTTTTGTATTATTTGTTAGCTTATTCAACCGTGAAAGTGATTTTTCAAACACATTCAATGTATTTAACAACATCTCTGTATCATCTCGTGGTGAAAGTGTATTCATGAATTCTTCTAGAATAAGACACATCTTTTCGTGTGCTTCTTGATAATATGAGATATTTTTGTTGTCAAGGTTTCGAAATAATTCATTTATGTATTCAAAGTTTTTTGTCTGAAACTCCTTAACATATATTCTTGGTGTTTCCGGTTTTATCTTCCGAACAAGTCTTTTAGTCAAAATGTAAAAAACATCCACAATTTCAGGTATTGATGGGATCCTCCCTTTTGGAAAATTTTTTACTAGAACACATAAAATCTTGTAAGGTTCTTCGATATTGGAGTTATGTGGTGATTCCCAATTCTTAAATCGACGGATTAATTTTGCTACTATGAATTCTGCATCCAGTGGCCACGATTGATTGAATGAAACAGCGAATGTTAATTGATTAAATAGCTCTATATACAGTGGCGTATATTTTTTGAATAAAGGATCGTCGATAGATGGAACTGGCGTTTCCTTTGCCCATTGCAAATTAGTCCTTAACAATCTATCAAATGGCGTATCCTTTTTGTTTTCGTGTAAGCATCGTGTAATAAGTGGCGAAGAAATAGATTGTATAGAATAATTCTCCATTTCATTAAAACTTTCAACACTTGAACTATCAGATTCTGAAGACTCATGATTTGAGTATAGTGGCATATATTTATTGAATAAAAGATCATCGACAGATGATAATGGCGTTTCTAATCGCGTGCTCTTTTTATTTTCGTGCAAGCACCTTGTAATAGGTGGTGAAGGAACATATTGTGCAGAGTGCTTATCTGTTTCATTAAAGCTTCCAACACTTGAATTCTCAGGTCCTGGAGACTCATGACTTGAGATTTCCTCATCCATTTCAGGTTCGTCAAATGTATTACCGAAAGGATTTTCGTCTGAATCATGTACAACGAACCCATCGTCTTGTTCTTCGTAATTATACCTTTCGCTGAAAGTTTGCTCCCTTTGTAATTTTAAGACTTTAGAATCTACTTCTGTAGGTATACCTGCCTTCCTTGCTCGAATTCTCTCTATAGAATATGGCGCCTGTTGAATTGGAAGTCTTTTCCTTAGCTGACGAGCTGGTGGCTCAGGACTTGAAGTTTCGTTATCGTCGTCGAGCGAGATTGGTATATTTCTGGCTGGAATTACTACAAATGGCGATAATTGCTGATTCTCCATTTGGTGAGTTAAGATAGGCTATTACGAAAGGATGTTTATATCAAACGCGAATTTTATAGTCGCGACTAAAAATGTTACGTGATATTTCAAGGGCAGGTACACGAAAAATTTAGAAAACAATTTGTTACACAGATCATAACTATTAAAAACAATATACTGTATATATATAGTACGGAACAGATAAAATAATGGGGTGTCCGCAATAACTCAAACATTTGTCGGGTTCGTTTTAACTTGCTCTTTTTTTGTTTTCTTGCATGCAGCGGCGACAAACAGAAATTTCAAAGTTACGTTTTTGATGTTTTCATTAAAATGCATCAAAAAAGAGAACTTAGCATAGAAATTGCGAGTTCCCGATATATTACTCCAGACAATAAAAGTAAAAAAGTGTTATTACTTTAAAGAGCATGTAAAATGAACCCAACAAATGTAATTTGTGTGGGTTTGAATTATTGCGGCTTGAATTTTATTATATAATTTACTATTAGCATCGTTAATGCAAAAATACTATTCCTGATGGATCGGCAATACCGACCTTGATGGAGTTAAAAAAAAAAATTTATTTGAGTACTGTTCCTGATAGGGTTCTAAAAATGAACCCTAACCTAACCTTTGTTCTATTATAGTAGTATAGTATTTTGGAGCCTTTTTTTAGGAACGGTATGTAAATGAACAAAGATGGTATTGGGGTACTTATTTGAAGAAACAAATTACGAAATTAAGAAAAGAAAAGAAGACTATCAGATTTTCTCCCACCATATCAGGACAATCCATCAGGAACGGTATTTTTGCGTCGTGAATCTATAAAAATTTTTTGTCCGAAGCGTAGCGGAGAACGATTTATGGTGTAGTAATAGACTAGATTTTGTGTGTATAGTGCAAGACATCTAAAACCGGAAAATATCTATCACAAGAATAATAACATAATTATAGATAAGGCCATACAAACTTAATAAATCGGCTCTCATAACAAAATTTTTGAAAGCGACCCGGCTTTTAATTTTATTTTCAAACAATTTTATATATAAAAAACAAAATTTTTTATAAATTTTTTTAGAAAAACCCACCTGGATAGTAAAAATTTTTTTAAAAGTTTTGTAAAATTTGACCCAGACAGGTTGAAAACCGATTTATTAAGTTTGTATGGCCTAATTCAAAAAAAAAAGGCAAAATCACAAGAAAAAAAAACCAAAACTACATAAAATTTTATATTAGTTAAAAATAGAAAACATATGGTGCAAGACATCTAGGTATTTTGGTCAAATTTAGGTTAGATATATTACAGAGTTTTACATTATTAATGACTAATCAAGTGAAGCAAAAAAAAATAGTGCCCAAAATCTTAAATATGTATTTATATATTTTAATCAGTTTATTATCAAACCTTTAAAAAGATTCAATATTGTAAACGGCTCTGTAATTACAGAAAAAATAGATATTCTATAAAATAAGTAGGCAATATAAGAAATAAGCTTCACTAATAATTAGTAATCATTAATATTTTAATTGCGAAGTTTGTGAAGTTTGCCCACTTATTCTATAGAACATTCTTTTTTTTTTGTAATTTGGCTATTCTGTCTTGTTTATTTGAAGTTTTAAACCTAGTTCAAAATTTTTAAAGGTTTTATTTGTAGCTATTATCAAACTTACACCATAACAAGAACTTATCTGCAGCCTATTAGATAAAATTATTTGTAATTCGTCAAATGTAATCTGCCTTAGTAGCACTAACCTTACTTTGGGTTCTTAACTTACTAAAGATTTTTTTTTTTGGTTTATTGGCTGGCAGCTATATGCTTATCAAAAAGCAAATACAAAAAATTTAAAAAAAAAATACTAAAAATAAAACATAGAGGCATGAAGGAGTATAATAAAATATATAAACAAGAAAGAAAAAAATATAAAGATTAACAGAATAAAAAAACTTTAACAATTCTAACAACTACAATTATAAGTCTGTATCAAGCTTATAAAAATAATATATGGAGGCTTGTCAGTAAAAAAAGAGAAAAAAGTTTCTAAGTAAAAGTTTTTTAAACTTTTGAATTAAAATATTTCAATAACTACTAAACTAAATTTGATAATTATTTTTTTATTTTAATTATATGTAATTATAAAATTAAATAAAAAAAAATTTATTTAATTTGATTTAGTAGTTATTGAGCTATTCTAATTTAAAATTTAAAAAAAAAGTGCTAAAAACTTTTTATTCCTTTTTTACTAACAAGCTCCCATATTATTAAATAAATTAGTTTTTATTCTAGATTTATTTATTTAATATATTAAAATAAAAATTATTTAGAAAAAAACTTTATTAACCAAAATAATCATAAAAAAATTAGAACAAAGTTTCGAAGTATTATTTGTATAAATATTTTTGCATTCAAAGCATGTGTATTCATATATTTATTGTTATTAATTTGATTTGAAAAATAAATAATATTAACTTAATCAGTATATATAATATTGATTTTTTGAACAGAATAAGCTAAAACATCTACTTTTTATAAAAAATTTCTCGAAAAAAAGTAGTAAGCCAACAAGAGTATATAAGGTTTTTCTTGCAAGTTTTATAGTTGTATAGTCTAGTTTTTAGGCTTTTATTATATTTTTTTTTTATATTTAGCCTGTCTTGCCACTGTTTTTATTAATAATAACTAGGCAAAAATTACAAGAATTTTTAACTATAGCTATTCTGTTTAACCGCAACAAGTAACTCACTTGGCTTAAAAGCTCAGATGCGACATTGCTTAGTGGTTATTTGCCTCCCTTCAGACCCTTAACTTCTAGAGGCATGTATTCTTTGATTATTGACCAGTGCTACACACTATATCAGTATCATCTTTTTTACGAAATATAAATACAAAACAAAGGGTAGAGAAAAAAAGGAGTGATACCTTGGTATTTAAATTCAATCCACCTAAACAAAAAAACCAAAAAACAAATAAAAGATAAAGTAAATGATCTTTATTTTTAATAGTAATTACTTGACAAATATAGTAAAATCGATTTTTATATATTTTTACTATTTTGATTTGCCTAAGTTGCACAAAATTTGCCTAAATTACACATTATAAATAACATATAATCATCACCTGATTTTTTTTTTTTTTAATGTTAAAGTAACCACTTTGGGGTCTGGCATGTTTTATTAAACTCTGGATCGAATGTCAGGACAACTATATGGGCTACTCCTGACATTGTAACATTAATGAGGATACATTCTAGTTATATGTACAACTTTTGGTTATCTATTTAAGCAGTCTTGTATATGTAACCCATATGAACTACACTAGATGTCATACCTGTAACCCACTATTACTTGAGTTACCCAATTAAACTCTCTGATCAACTTAGCGCCGTCAGATATTCTCCTCAAAGAGAGAACTGCCGCTAAGGCACCTTAGGACTACTTTATCCTCGTGATAAACCTACTAGAGCGTCTATATTACACATATGTATCACCTAGATTTTTAGTAACTTACACCTAGACCGTGGCCAAATACTTGCAGCTTTTTACCTCTGCTACTATTACCTACTCTGTGCCCTTGCAAAGTTTACCTAAACCCCAGTACCCACTTTATGGACTATCAACAGTACTTCGATGCCAACTAACAGTGCCCCAAACTTCCAATTCAGATAGCTTGGGAGGGACCAGTGAGTGTCTCCTGGTATTCCAAATGAATCTTTTTTCCTCTAACTAGTCTGGCAGCCTGGTTGGTGTAGTACTTGCCAAACACTCAGTCCTCGTTCAGTTTACTGCTAATGTCCGGTTTCCCAGATGATAATCCTTTATATAGTACTATCAAAAATCTGTGCTACCTCTCTACTCGAGACTTCTCAAGTGGGCTTCTGTATCCCCCGATCTTTTAGATTTATTTGGCTGCTTTACTCGAGTTTCATGTAATGCATGCATTACACTACGTTCTACAACCTCCCAATATGAGTTGGTAAGACCAAAGTCACAGATGCTTACCCGATCGATATGTCATACAGTTTTACCATAATGCATTTCTACAAATTTGAATTCGTCACAGATGGGATTCGAACTCTTGTCCTGCCACTTGGGGGTGCAACAACTTACCAACTACACTAAGTCACCACACCCATCATCACCTAATTTTAATTGAATGTTATTGTAAAAAAATTTAATAATGTGATTACTATTAGAAATATAGATTCTTCACTCTACTCTAAAAGAAAACAAAATAAAAGAAAACAAAACAAAAATAATACTATTAAACCCATGCTGAATTGTAAAAATTATATAGACTACTAAATAATCTAGTCTAAACTCTATACTAGTTATTTATTGTCCATATTAAGATATATAAAATATCTATTTTTGAGTAGAGATTAAGTTTGAAATTTCTCTTGTGGTTCTATCAGGTTTGGTGTAGTATCCTATAATAATATGATGTGCTAAAGCATATTCCTGGGCAAAGTTAAACGATCTTATTATGAATTTCAATATAAATACTATAACCTCTTGAGGTAACCTGTTATTTGTCATTATTTCTAAAGTAAACACATACTCCTATACATAACTTTCCTTTTTCAGCAGTAATTGTTGTTGTCGATCCTTCGATGAAGATATGCTGTTTTTTTAATTTTTGGTGAAAATTTTGTAAAAAACAAAGAGTAGGGCTTGGTAGAGGTTTTGGTTTGCAGGTATCCTTAAACTTCGATAAAGAGTGTGTTGAAAACTCGCTTGTTGTTCTCTTTAGACCAACTATCTTTAATTTCATTAGCAGAAGCAGAGCTTTTATTAAAATTTTCTGTACAAGAGCACCATCTTCTCACCAATTATCTTGTACAGGAATGCTTTTAGCTTGTATATTGAATATACAGAGAAGTCCAAAGGAAACTTGGAAATCCTTGACCTCTGTAAAAACCATTATTTATAGTTGTTTCTTCTACTTTTTTTCAACAAGTTTCTGTTTTCATTAGCCTAAAGTTTTGTACAAGTGATCAGCAAGAAGAGTTTGTATAGCATATGC